GGCCTGCCTTCCTAGGTTGGGGAAGTTCTCCTGGATGATATCCTGAAGAGTGTTTTCCAACTTAGTTCCGTTTTCCTCATCACCAGGCACACTAATCAGATGTAGATTTGGTGTTTTCACACAATCCCATATTTCTTGGAGGCTTTGTTCATTTCTTTTTACTCTTTTTTCTCTGCACTTCTCTTCTCGCTTCATTTCATTCATTTGATCTTCAATCACTGATACTCTTTCTTTTGGTTGATCGAGTCAGTTACTGAAGCTTGTGCATTTGTCACGTAGTTCTTGTGTCATGGTTATCATCTCTATCGGTTCTTTTCAGGTCTTCTCTGCATTGATTATTCTAGTTATCCATTCTTCAATTCCTTTTTCAAGATTTTTAGTTTCTTTGTGCTGGTTATGTAGTTTCTACTTTAGCTCTGAGAAGTTTGATCGACTGAAGCCTTCTTCTCTCAACTTGTCAAAGTCATTCTCTGTCCAGTTTTCTTCTGTTGCTGATGATGAGGTGTGTTCCTTTGGAGGGGGAGATGCACTCTGATTTTTTGAATTTCCAGTTTTTCTGCACTGCTTTTTCCCCATCTTTGTGGTTTTATCTTCCTTTGGTCTTTGATGATGGTGATGTACTGATGGGGTTTTGGTGTGGGTGTCCTTTCTGTGTGTTAGTTTTCCTTCTAACAGTCAGGACCCTCAGCTGCAGGTCTGTTGGAGTTTTCTTGAGGTCCACTCCAGACCCTATTGGCCTGGGTATCAGCAGCGGAGGCTGCAGAAGATAGAATATTGCTGAACAGCGAGTGTTGCTGTCTGATTCTTGCTGTGGAAGCTTCGTCTCAGGGGTGTACCCAGCCCTGTGGGGTGTGAGGTGTCGGTCTGCACCTCAGTTGAAAATGCAGAAATCACCCATCTTCTGTATCACTCATGCTGGGAGCTGGAGACTGGAGCTGTTCCTATTTGGCCATCTTAGGAGCCCCCTCCGGATTTCATCTTCTTATGTGAAGTGGGATGTGGCTTGTAAAAGTTTGTTATAAACTTTATGCAAACTTTGCATAAAGTTTATAACAAGAAAAACTGCTTGTATAATAATACATTCAAAAAGCAACATCCAAGATAATCCATAACATATGAATGCAACTTTGTAAAATGACAGCATATATAAATATACATATATAGAAAATAACAAAATGAAAATGAGCACCACTGCACAAGACAGCTCCATGGACCACCATTTGCACTGCAGTTTACAAAGGTTCAACAATATAATAGCAGTGATTTTTTAAAGAAAGACCTAGGTGATGTTTCTATCTGTGCATTTTAAAGTCTTCTGTGATCAAATAAGGTTTCACTTTTCCAATATAAAAACATATATTTTAACATTTACAATAGAGCATTTGAAGTAAAATAGCAATGAAATGAGGCCAGACATGGTGGCATGCACCTGTAGTCCCAGCTACTCAGGAGGCTGAGGCAGGAACATTGACAGAGCCCAGAAGTTCAAGGATGTAGGACACTATAAGTCACAGCTGTGAATAGTCACTGCATCAGCCTACAAGCATATATCAAGACCTTATCTCAATAATAATAATAATATTCACAATCTTCTTTCTGCCTCAAGCTAAAGCTACTTTCTCTTTTTAGACAAAGAGGGCAGAAATGCCTACTGAGTGCTCCACTGAAAGAAATGGGTTACTTCCTTCATAATCCATGATCCAATTTTTGGTTATAGAGTTCAGCTGAGCAATAAAGGCAACACTAAGAACACCATCAACATATAGATTATTGATTGTCATATATGTGTTTATTATAAATGTACCCCCTGAAGGGAGATGGATTCTTCCATTTCGCAGAAATAGAAATCTGAGTCCCTGGGAACTTTGGGGAAGGCTTGTTCTGGGTTCACTGAATGTAAGCCTTGAGGTGGAGACCTCAGCCTCTTGCAGAGCCCGCCTAGGCATAAGCCAAACTAGTGGAGACTCCTCAACAACAGGAAGAGCAACTGAGATCCAGGAATGTATCCACACTTGTGGGAGTCCATGTCCAGCGGAATACAACTGAAGGATGGGCGGAGGTAGAGTCTAGCTGCTTCCTTCAGCTGGGAGTGGCAGATGTGTGGGTCGATCAGCTACCCATGGTGTATCATGTTCCTGGGGCTGTCTTTCATTCCTCTGCTGAGAACTCCATCCTGCACAGACAAAAACCATATATTCACTGGTAAGCAGGATCCTTTTAGAAATACAAACATAACTTCCCTAACATTAAGAGTCAAGCATTCTTTCTCCAGTGAATCATCTTATTTGAATAATCTCCTAACTCCCTGAGATTGCTTCAGAGTGCATCTGAGAATTTGAGTCCAAGACAGAAAATCATTTTGGGGTTTGGACCTGGCTGATCTTGGACTGTGTTCTGAAAAGAAAGCTTTCTACTTGCAGAAGAGCAAGAGTGAGCTCTGAATAGGAGATGAAATCATGAGGAGAAAGACATGGGCAGATTCCCAAGCAAACTTGAATATATTTGCCAGCCTCTTTTCAGTTGTTATAAAATACACATCAACACAAAATTTGCCATTGTAACCATTTAAGTGGACAATGCAGTAACATTTAGTAGGTGCACAACGTTATGCAGCCATCATCACTATCAAGTTCCAGAGCATTTTCACCACCCTGAAGGAAACTCTCTTCCTGTTAAACAGTACTTTCACTCTCCCCTGCCACCCAGCCCCTAGCACCACTAACCCGGTTTCTCGCTCTCTCGTTTGCTTCTTCTGAATATTTTTATTGAAATGGAATCATACAATATATGGCCTTTTGTGACTGGCTTCTTTCATTTGACATGTTTTCAAGAGTTCATCAAATTTGTAGCATGTATCAGTACATTTTTCCTTTTATGGTCATATAATATTCCATTGCAGAATAGATTACATGTTGTTTATCCATTCATCAGTTGATGGGCATTTTCTTTTAAATTAAACAGAGAAAACAAAAGAGGAGTTACAAATTACCACCCCCAAAAAATACTTTTCTATTTATCTATGAAGTTACTTTTAGTTGTGTACTTCTTTGCCATATGGCTTCAAGTTGCTATCTAATGTCCTTTTATCTCAGTGTGAAGCATTCTTTTCAGCATTAATTGTAGAATAGGTTTACCACAGACAAATGCCATCCGTTTTTATTTACCTGTGCATGTCTGAATTTCTTCATTATTTCTGACAGATAGTTTTGTCAAACATGCAACTGTCAGTTAAGACACACGTTGTTTTTTCTTTTGAACTTTAAGTTTGTCATGCCAATGTCTTCTGAACTCCATGGTTTCTGAAGAAGATTTGGCAGTTAATCTCATGGAGGATCCTTGTACTCGATGAGTCCCTTCTCTTGTTGTTTTTCAGATACTCTGTTTGCCTTTGACTTTTGACAGTTTCATTATAATGTCGCTCAGTGTGGACATCTTTGAATTGCACTACTTTAAATGTTTCAGTGTGTTGGATACCCAGATTCATGTTTTTAATAAAATTTCAGAAGTTTGGGGTCATTATTTCTTCAAATACTCTTTCTCCCCTCTTCTTCCTTCTCTCTTAGGAGGACTCCCAAAATGCATATACTTGATATTTGTCTCAGATCTCTTCTGTTCATTTTCTTCATACTTTCCTTCTGCTCCTCAAATGGGCAATTTCAATTGGCCTATGTTTAGGATTTACTGATTCTTCATTCTGCAAACTAAAATCTGCTCTCAAAGCCCTCAGTGAATTTCCATTTTAGCACCTACCTTGCATTTCAGCTCCAGATTTCCACTTGCTTCCTTTTCCACAATTATCTATTGATTTCTGCTATTTAGTGAAACGTGATTCTCCTGATTTTCTTTAGTTATTTGTCCTTATGGTTCCTTTAGCTCCTTGACTATGTTTAAAGAAAGTTGATTCAAAGTCTTTGTCTAGTAGAATCAGTCTATTCTTCTTCAGGAACAATTTCTTTCATTGTTTTCCTGTGAATAGTCATACTTTCATACATGCATAACTCATGTTTTTTGAAGTTGAAAACTAGACATTTTCAATATTATGATGTGGTAACTGTAAAAATTACGTTTTCTAAACTATTTTTGTATAGACTGTATTCTTTGTGTATGTGGTCCTGAAGTCTCATAGTTGTAGATGTGTGGCCTTATTTCTAAGTTCTCTGTTCTATTCCATTGGTCTATGCATCTGTTTTTGTACCAGTACCATGCTGTTTTGGTTACTGTAGCCTTGTAGTATAGCTTGAAGTCAGAGAGCATGATGCCTCGAGTTTTGCTCTTTTTGCTTAGATTGTCTCAACTATAAAGCTCTTTTGGTTCTACATGAATTTTAAAATCATTTCTTCTAATTCTGTGAAAAATATCAATGGTAGTTTAATGAGAATATCATTGAATCTATAAATTACTTTGGGCAATATGACCATTTTTATGATATTGATTCTTTCTATCCATGAGCATGGTCTTTTCCATTTGTTTGTGTCCCCTCTCTCTGATTTACTTGAGCAGCACTTTGTAGTTCTCCTTGAAGAGATTCTTCAATTCCTTTGTAGGCTGTATTCGAGGCATCTTATTCTGTTTGTAGCAATTGTGAATGAAGTTTATTCACGTTTGACTCTCTGCTTGTCTATTGTTGTATAGGAATGCTTGTGACTTTTGCACATTGATTTTGTATCTTGAGATTTTACTGAAGTTGCTTATCAAGCAGAAGCTTTTCAGCTGAAACAACGGGGTTTCAGATATAGGATCATGTCATTTGCAAACAAAGACATTTGACTTCCTCTCTTCCTATTTGAATATCCTTTCTTTCTCTTACCTGATTGCCCTGGCCAGAACTTCCAATACTGTGTTGAGTAGGACTGGTGAGAGAGGTCATCCTTGTCTTGTGCTGGTGTTAAAAGGGAATGTTTCCAGTTTTTGCCCATTCAGTATGACACTGGTTGTGAGTTTGTCATAGATGACTTTATTATTTTGAGTATGTTCCTTCAATACCTGGTTACTGAGGATTTAAAAATATGGAATGCTTCGTGAATTTGCATGTCATCCTTATTGCAGAGACCATGCGGATCTTCTCTGTATCTTTCCAATTTTAATATATGTGCTGCCAAAGTGGGTACTGATCACAAGTTCTTAGAAGTGGAGATAAGTGAAGAACTGTGGGTGTGATGGAGTGTTGCATTTCATCTGCAGTAATTTCTGCATCTAACAAAATGTGATTATCTCTGTCTTTTATTCTTTAATTAAGTGGTGAAATGCATTACAGATTTAAAGTTTAAATATTCTTGTATCCTGGGGATGAATAACCTGGGCAGGATATTTAATTTATTTATAGCTCACTGGTGGACACAGTGTAGTACTGTTTTTTCTCCAGTATTTTTACCTCTAATGGCTTCGAAATGATTATCCTATCATGTTTTCTCTTATGTATTCCCTAGCTGGCTTTAGAATCAATGTTATTTATACATAAACAATAATGAGTTTACTGGCTTTCACTATGTTTCCTCATTCTTGAATATTGTATAAATTCAGTAGCCTTCTTTGAGAGTTTTGGTAGAACTTATCTGTCAAACAGTCTGGATATGCTGAAGGAAATAGGGTTTCCCTGACATTTTAACTATTTACTTATAATAAGTTCTCCCCATAGACATAATCTTGTTTATAGTCTCAAAATTATTTAAACCTCTACTATATTTTTAGTAGCATTTTTATCTATCATAATGTTATTTTATTCTTAATTACATTGCGTTTTATTTCTCTGTCCAAAAAAAGCAGCTGCTTTTGGTTAGCTGGGCCCTGAGCAGTGGCAGCTGCCAGGTCAGCCCTGTTGAGTGGCGACTCAGTTGCTGTGCCCATGCAGTGTCCATCGCAGCCACCACGGCCACTTTGTGCAGGGACTCCGCAGAACCCAGGTACCAATGCGGCTGAGTGGCATTGTCTGTCAAGCCATCTCACTCACCTGATTACAGGGAGCCCCAGTACCTTAAAGACCCTCTGGTGGGCATCCACACACAACCAATATCGTCATGCACTCGGCCTATAGCAAGAGGTCTATGCGTACCTCTCTCCTCTACCTCCCAGTTTTCCAACTCTATTTTCCCCAAGTTCGTGACTGGCCAGCCAAGGCATGAGCCACTGCCCATGACTCATTCATTCATGCACTACTGGGCATCATTCCACACCCCCACCTCCCATGGGCTTGTTTGGAGTTTGATTCCTAGTTCCTGGCTTGAGAGCCATTTCAAAGTTGTTCTGGTGTCAGCTCCCAAGCCCACTGTTGTAGATTTTCCTGTTTACATGTATTTATTTCCTGGAATTAAAAACAATTGTACTAAATTTTTCAATTCAGCATTTCCCAGGATGCAGTGGAGTGATTCTTCTTAGTGTACATAGAATTGCTTCAAAACACCAGCAATGTATATTTGAGGGAAGGACAGCATGCATGGAGAAAAGAGGACAATCCACAAGTGGGCAGTGAATTTTCACAAAGTGAACATGGGTAAACACCAGCAATGTATATTTGAGGGAAGGACAGCATGCATGGAGAAAAGAGGACAATCCACAAGTGGGCAGTGAATTTTCACAAAGTGAACACTTGGGTAAACAACATCCACCTCAAAGTACACCAATCACAGCCTGCCGGAAATACCCATGCAGTGTCCATCGCAGCCCCCACGGCCACTTTGTGCAGGGACTCCATGAGCAAGCCCTGTGCGCTTCTTTTGCTTTACAGGAAACTTGACGCAGGCTGGTGTCCAGTGAAGACATCCCAGGTACATGGAAAGAAGAGGAGGGTCTCAGGGCTGTGAGAGGTCAGCAAAAGGAAGCGCATGGACCACCAGGTGGCGCTGCTGCGCTGCCCCCGCTCCCAGGAGGTGAATGCTCAGGACGAGTTTTGAGGTGACGAGGGATGTCATTGCTCATCCTCCAGGTTCAAAGTAAAAACCTTCCAACCAATCTTGGCCGCGCGTTCTTGTGTAGCGAGCGGGCTCGGAGGTGCTCACCGCTGCTGTCAGGGTTCGTTTGCTAAACTGCATCGTCGCTGTGTCCCAGAACACGGGCATTGGAAAGAACGGGGAGCTGCCCTGGCCACCGCTCAGGAATGAATTTAGGTATTTCCGGAGAATGACACAGACTCTTCAGTAGAAGGTAAATAGAATCTGGTGTTACGTGTAGGAAGATCTGGTTCTCCATTCCTGAGAAGAATCGATCTTTAAAGGATAGAATTTAGTTCTCAGCAGAGAACTCAAGGAACCTCCACAAGAAGGTCATTTTCTTGCCAGAAGTCTGGATGATCTCTTAAAATTTATGGAACAACCAGAATTAGCAAATAAAGTAGAGATGATTTGGATAGTTGGTGGCTGTTCTGTTTATATGGAAGCCATGAATCACCCAGGCCATCTTAAACTATTTGTGACAAGGATCATGCAGGACTTTGAAAGTGACACGTTTTTTCCAGAAATTGATATGGAAAAATATAAACTTCTGCCAGAATACCCAGGTGTTCTCTCTGATGTCCAGGAGGAGAAAGACATTAAGTTCAAATTTGAAGTGTATGAGAAGAATGATTAATATGAAGGTGTTTTCTGGTTTATTTTAAGTTGTTCTCTCTCCCTCAGGAGAAAAAATTATATGCTTTTACATGAGAAGAAAATGACTTTTGTTGACTTTGGATCTATGAATAATTATTTGTAAGCAATGTGTTTTTATTCTGCACTAGTCTTGAATATAACAGATACCATTTATGAAACATTTTTGCTATAACTAAGTGCCTCTCCAAGACCCCAACTGAGTCCCCGCACCTGCTACAGTGAGCTGCCATTCCACACCCATCGCACATGGGACTCTGGCCAGTCCTTGACATTGTCGGGCTTTTCAAATGTTGGTAGTATTTATTAAAGATGAAAATGCACATACCCTGGGACTGTGCAGTTTCACTAGTGGGAAATACCAAAATCTTCCTACGTGTATATCTACAGGTTTGTAGACAAATGTTGCAGCCTTGTTTGTAGCAGTGAAAAATTGAAAACAACCTGGAAGTCCAGTGATGGGAAAATGAATATATTTCTGTCTTAGACTGGGGAACCCAAAGCAGATTCCAAGACTGAAATTTCAGTGAAAACAGTTTATTTGCTAGGTCTTACCAGAAAGTATCAATTGAGGTATGGAGAAATGGAACTGAGAAGATAAGAAAAGCAGTTTAAAGTCAGTGAGCAGGTTCTCATCGGTAACAAGCTCCATACTGCTGAGATACAGGGAAACGGAGGGGAGAAAGCTGGAGTATTGATCCTCCACTCCTTGGTTGTCAGCTCCCTGTCCTGTGTGTGGGTGGAACGTACTCCAGCTGCTCTATAGCAAGTCCCAGGTGTTTGCAGTAAGAAGCTGCTGGCACAAGAACAGTGGATGCCAAACACTTAAAGCAATTCCTTGTTTAAGTATATAACCTCTTCATATCTTTTTTTTTTTTTTTTTTTTTTTGACAGAGTTTCGTTCTTGTTACCCAGATCGAGTGGAATGGCGTGACCTCAGCTCACTGCAACCTCTGACTTCCCAGGTTCAAGCGATTCTCCTGCCTCAGGCTCCCAAGTAGATGGGACTACAGGTGTGCACCACGACACCAGCTAATTTTGTGTTTTTGGTGCAGATGAGGTTTCACCATGTTGGTCAGGCTGGTCTCGAACTCCTGACCTCAAGTGATCCACCCGCCTCAGCCTCCCAAAGTGCTGGGATTACAGGCGTGAACCACCCGACCTGGCAGATCTTTATTCTTTTTATGTAGTAAAAAGTATAAAGACACACATGGTTTATTTGAAATATTTTATGGTTAAAAAAAATACAGAAGGGGGAAATCCATTCTAAGTTCAAGTGAGGGATTGTGGTAGTTTGAACCAAAAGGTTGCATGTAATAAGAAACTGTGATTTAAGATATATTTTAAAGTTGGAAGTAGCAGGATATTCTGATGGAGTTTGACTTTGGTTTGGGGCCCACTGAGTTTGAGATGTCTTTGAGAAATGAAGGAAGAGGAGAGAGAATAAAAGAAAAACTGGCCGGGCACAGTGGCTCATGCCTGTAACACATTGGCTCAGCATTTTGGGAGGCAGAGACAGACAGATCCCTTGAGACCAGCTTGGGCAACATGGTGAAGCCCCATCTCTACAAAAAATACAAAAGTTAGCTGGACACTGTGGCGCCCACCTGTGGTCCCATCTGCTCCGGGGCTGAGGTGGATGAACTGAGCCCGCGCGGTCACGGCTGTAGGGAGTTGTGATTGCGCCACTGCACTCCAGCCTGGGCGACAGGAGAGACCCTGCCTCGAAAAAGAAGCTGGAAACAATGGAAGCATGGCTTCAGAATTCTAGAAAGAAAGTGATTTTCAACAGATAAATCTATATTCAGCCAAATAATCAAGGGTGAAGGTAAAATAATACATTTTTAGACAAGGAAAGACTCAGGGGTTACCTCCATGGACCCTTTCTTGGGAAACTATTGGAGAAAATACTCCAGCAAAATGCAGGAGTAGACAAACCAGAGAATGACATGGATCCAGCAAATAGGATCTAACACAGGAAATATTCCAGCTAAGGAGCTGGGTTTAAAAAAAAAAAAAAAAGAGTAAAAATATTAATAGGTTAACTGGGTGGAATGGCTCATGCCCGCAGTCCCAGCTACGCAGGAGGCTAAAAGCAAGAAGTTGGCTTGAGTCCAAGAGTTCCAGACCAGCCTGGCCACCATACTGAGGTCGCTTCTCTTAAAAATAATAATAGGTTATTGCCAGATTTGGGGTATTTGGAAAGAAGTTCATTGAAGATAAAGCAAAAGTGAAAAAAAACAAGAGGGAAGGCTGGTTAGGCAATCATTAATTCTAGGGCACAAGGAAGTACAGGATAGGAAGTAAGAGCATAATACTCTGTTTTTCTCAACAATGAGCAATATGTACATAGTCATAATGATCAGTGACTGCTTAGCCCCTAACTCTGGTAACTACTTTGGGACAATATGGGAGGAAAAGTGAAGATAGTGATGGTGTAAGAGCTAAATCCTCATCTGTCATTCAAGAAATCACTTAAAATATGTAAAATAATCAAGAAAAGACTAAGTAGTTATGTGAGTTGAAAAACA